ATATATATATATATATATATATATATATATATATATATATACATACATACATATATACACACACACACATATATACATACATACATATATAACTACATTTCTGCTTAATAGGATGCAGTTTGTCTTCCCCACCACTCTAGAACTATGAACATTGAACAAATATGTAGACAACATTATGTCTGTGTTGAATCTTGTATTGTCAACATTTGAATGCCAAAAGAAGATAAAGGTATTTGGCACAATCCAGGACTTTTAAGTTTCATTTCTGTGTTAAAATGCAGAATACATGACTGAATGGATGTGACAAATGTAAATAAAGTTTGCCCAGAGTCCAACACAATATTTTGGTAAGCAAACTGAGTAAATATAACCCAAGCCATTACAACAGATGGCACCATCTAACAAGCCCGATTCACCACCACTACAGCCATAGCACAATAGGACCTGAATGAGAAGAAATCCAAGGGCTGTTGATTAGGCTGGAAAGAAGTGTCTTAGAAGCAAACACTGACAACACATTTTCAGGCTGCTATTAATCAAACTATATGAATACTTATATATAGTTACTAAAAATCAAGCTTAATTTGATGAAATATTTGACCAGAAGGATAAAAACCTCAAAATGATCATTACTTGTTTCTACTCAAACTGAGGTTTGTACTAGTACATTGTCCTCCAACAGTTTTATTATTTAAATTGTGTGAAGATGTTTTCCTCAGTCACAGTTTTCTTTACGTGTTGGCCACGGCTACACAAGACCCAAAGAGGTTTGCTGACAGCCTTACACAGCTTGGTGTTTCCCCCACAACTTCAACAGTCATCAGCCAATATAACCATTGCTTATTGGGAACAATAAGCTTCAATAGCTTCATAAAAGCAGTAGCAGTTTAATGACATCATGAAACCAATAGGTGTCATACATTGACAATGTGGCAGCTTATTGACTACCAAAGGTTTTTAAGAGTCCTAAATTTTGAATCCTACCTTCATCTGGGAAGAAGCCAACTTGAAGTTTACTTCTGAGGAGGCATTCCTGGGATTGTGCTGTTTGTTACCCAGAGACTACATACCATTAGATTTTAAAAGGACAATTTCTCTTCAATCACATAAAAGAACATACTGTATGTAATAATAAAGTGAAATCAAGATGTTATTGATCAATAAAACCTAAGAACATCTGCATTCTATATATATTTGGTGTGAAAGTATTAAGTATTAACTTTGCCACCAAGTTAATTCTTTCACCATTCAAGTAGAACAGACTTAATATGCTCAGTAACTCTGGCCCAATAGCTTATCTCTCAGCTTAACATGCACCATTGCTGAGACAGTAAAATTCCTGGCTTTTCTATATAAGCAACCTCTATGTGAAAATAACAAATATCCATTAATAATAAGAAACCGGGAGAATCCCTAGTTTAGGTCTCCTGCGTGAGCAGGGGGTTGGACTAGATTACCTCCAAGGTGCCTTCCAACTCTTACTATTACTGAAGCCATCTTTCCCTCTTTTCCATCTACATTTTAACATCTCTATGACCAGCAAAGATGGAGTTGCTCCAGCAGAAATGTGGAATCATAGACGGTAGGTGTTGATTGTCTGACAAATTATACTTTTAAATTTATGGGGACCTAGTTGGGAATTGGGAAAAGAGAAATCAGCTGTACTTATGATGATGCACTTCATTGTACTGGTTTATTAAGATACACTAAATTTCAAACATACGAGGATCGTAGATTAAACAGACCTAGGGTTTTAATAGTTTTCAAAAGAAACCTACTTATTTTTGTAGGCTGTGATCTATTATTTGTATTGGAGGAACAACTGGTGTTTTCCAAAAAATTTCTTCGTTAGCATATGCTTAACGCAATTTAAGTTTTCAAAGCGATCATCCATCGCAATTTTCACCCACAATTATCCCACCCTCCTAGTAAAGGTGGAAAGCTTTTCTTACCCAGCTGGGCAATAAATTGAAGGACATGTGACCCAACCTGCCAATCCTCTCTTAACCGCGCCTCCTTTTTCGAACTCACGGAGGAATCAGCCTTCCGTAGTCGTAGAAACGCATTTAGAATAGACCGCTGGGCGACCAATGGAAAGAGGCGGAAACTGAAAAGCAGCCAATGAGAGCAGCCTGGTGCGAGTTTTAAACTTGCAGCGGCAGGCAAAGAAGATACCGCACTCGTGCAGTAGCAGCAAGCGGCTATCTTTTGGTCCTGGGCGAGAAAAGGGAACGAACCGGTCGTGAGGATCTCAGGAATCCAGCCTAGACCATGGCTTTGCGGGTCACCCGGGTATGGAGGAAATTGCCTGGTGGGGCGTGCGGGGGTATCTTTAAGACGGTATTGCACGTTAGGATTTGTAGGAGCCTGGCGGCCATTTAATGCTGAACTTCTACCTAACTTAACGGGGGATACATTTTGAGCATTGTGGCGTTTACTAGTAAATAAATCTGCTTCAAAGATCATTTGTGCTAGTTTTGTCAATGATGAAGGTGCGGCAATGGAGGGAGTAACATGGCGGTGTGACAAATATACCTTGTTCCTCTCTCTCTTTCTCGCATTTCTAACCCTATATTTGAACGGCGAAGTCGAGGTAGCCCGTTGCGGGTGGAAAAAGCGTTATATTGCCTTGTTAAACGTATATAATTGAATCCTACTCCTAAAGTATAACCGAGGGGTTTCCCCTCCCCCCACCTCCCAACAATTACATGAAAGAGTAAATAGGTGGTTATCCTCCCCAGTTCATCATAAGGCTGTGTATATATTTCTGAATGTTCTGTCACTTAAATGATTTTTGGTTTTTTGGTAGAACACAAAAGTCAATGCTGAGAACAAAACAAAACCTGCAATGGCCCTCACTAAGCGAGGGGTTGCTGCTAGCAAACCTGCTTTGAGGCCTAGGACTGCTTTGGGAGACATCGGCAACAAAGCTTGTGAGCCACAGTCTAAAGACGTAGGAAAAAAGGTAATGTTTTCTTTGCCTGTTCTTTATCCAACAATACAGTAGGAGTTAGTAAAGCCATAGTCCTGCTTATTCCTATCTTGTTTTTTTCTTTCCTACTTAGGAAATGTTGAAGCCTACAGCCGTGGACAAAGTAATTACTCGGAAAATCACAAAACCCACTGAAAAACCAATTCAACCTGTGAAAGAAGAAAAGCCAATTCCAGAACCTGTTAAGGTATTAAATAGTTTGTAAATAAGTATTTAAGGACCATGGGTAATTAGGAACAAAGACTTTGTTTAGATTTGTAAATCTGTAGTTGTTACTTGTAGGCTGGAAGCATGCGTTTTAGAATTTTTATTTACTTTTAATAGGTTGCAAAATTTCAAATGACCTCTAGATGGCAGTGAAGAAATAAGTTAGCGCTGATCTAGCTATGATTTTGGCTAAGATTCTAGGTTTGATTCTGGTTTAGGATGGTATACCTAATTATTTAACCATTTTTTATTAATATGAATTTTATTATTTCTATGGTTATTTCATGGAAGATTTTACTTTATCTTACATTGGTTAAGTCACTTGATGCTAGTTGAGATAAAATACAAAAATGTAAAGTACATCTTAACCTACAATCAAGAAGTCAATTGATTTACTCAATCAAGTGCCACTTTGGATAGCGAGATAGGTGACATATATTGACATTATACAATATACCTTGCAAAGAGGCATTTTGTATAATATATCTAGTCAGAACTGCTGCTTTCTCTCCAACATTATTATATTTTTTTATCCATTGCACAATTAGGGCAGAGCCAATTTTAGCATCTCTACCTTTCAATTTCTTGAAAGATTCACCTTTCAATTTACCTCTGATCTACAACTGTACTTTAGATTCTTCCTTGGTATAAAGTAAGGCCTAATACTATCAATAAAACATGGATAATGAGCAGAGGTTTTATATTTGCATGCCCATAAGCAACATCATTGAACCCACTAATGAATTTAATTATAGTCACACAGCTGGAAGTACATAGGTGAAACATCCATAGGAAATAGCTGCAACTTCAGTTTATGAAACAGACAAATGCATCCTTGGGGACACATGATGTAGCCTTTTCCTGGCACAACATCTATGGGTCCAAAGAAGAATGCTCTGAATTAAGCAAAAATATGCTGCATATTTTTTTCCAATGTTGTGGGTTAAGTACTAAAGATAATATCTTTCCTTATAGCTGGAGCCTCTATCCCCAAGCCCCATGGAAACATCTGGCTGTGCTCCAGCAGAGGACATATTATGCCAGGCTTTCTCGGATGTACTACTTGAAGTGAAAGATGTAGATACAGATGACGTGTCTGATCCAAACCTTTGCAGTGAATATGTTAAGGATATCTACAACTACTTGAAATTTCTTGAGGTTGGTTTAATGAGCTAATCAGGCCTGACATTGGCTGTGGAATTAAAACTACTTTTAAAACTACTGGACGGTATTTTATTAAAACAAACACTAGATTACTGTTGATAATTATCACATCTCTAGCATAGTTTCTGAAGTATCGCTAAATGGGGATAATTTAAATCTTGGTTTACCTGTAGTTTGAATAAACTACAAGTAGTTAGATGTCAAGATATTAAGCCAATAAATCACAGTAAACTATGTTTGAGAGCTCAAGATGGTAGCTTGTTCTAAAATTCAGATGATTTAACTAGGGAAAGAAGCTAAGAACTTTCTCCACAATCTAGAGGGCTTCTTGTTGGGAGATAGGTCTAATCAAACTGGACAATGATAGGACATAATTTTAGAGGTGGAAATACATAATTTAACATCCAGCATGTTTCTATTCCTTACAGGGTCAGCAATCGGTGAAAGCAGACTACTTGGCAGGTCAGGAAATTACTGGAAATATGCGGGCCATCCTAATTGACTGGCTTGTTCAAGTTCAGATGAAATTCAAACTGTTGCAAGAGACCATGTACATGACGGTTGCCATAATAGATCGGTTTCTTCAGGTAAGGAAAACTGGTCTAAGAGCTCATTCCAAATTTGAGCAAACAGAATGAGACCTCTCCACTGAATTTTAGCTTGTTTATGTAATGTGGCTTCTTTGAAATCAAGCTATGAATGTTAATTTAGAGATTTCCATTGTATAAACTTTACTCTTGAGTAGTAGCTTGGCTCACCTGCAACATTTTCCTTTCATTGCTATTACCAGGAGCTGAACAATACATACACCCTAAAATTAGCAATAGCAATAGCAGTAGACTTATATACCGCTTCATAGGCCTTTCAGGCCTCTCTAAGCGGTTTACAGAGAG